TAGCTGATGATACTCAGCTCTATATTTCTTCACAGCCCGGCGAAACATACCAATTTGCAAAACTAACAGAATGCAAAGTCGATATAAAAAACGGGATGACGAGTAATTTCGTACTGCTAAATTCTGAAAAAACAGAGGTGTTAATTATAGGACGTAAAACCTCCGCATGTAATAACCTAGAACACTGTCTAACACTTGATGGCTGCTCTGTCGATTCTTCGTCATCAGTCAGGAACCTAGGTGTGCTATTTGTTAGCAATCTTTCCTTAGAAAGCCACGTTTCTAGTATCTGTAAAACTGCATCTAAATTACGACCTATGCTCTCAATGTCAAATGCAGAAACGTCAATTCATGTGTTCATGACCTCAAGGTTAGATTATTGTAATGCTTTATTTGGGTGGTTGCAACTGTATTTTCACCGTGTTGTGATAAAGGTGGAAAGTAGCTCTATTTAACAATGAATGACACCGCACCTAACCTTGTGCTGTTTTGGCTGTAATCTTGCCTTTATTTTCTTACTTTTATTTATGATAATAAAGGCAAGTGCAGTAAACCCACAACATATGGGCCACATTATTATATCATAACAGCCCTAAAACTAATCCTGAAAAGCAGGCTCATGTAATGCGAACACTAGATAACAGTGTTGGTCGGTTATTGACTTGTTTTACTTGTTGCAAAAACACACACAAAACACATTTGTAATTCAAGGAAGGCGTTCGTTAGGAAACATACATTGCTGAGTGTGTTAGATGTTATAGATCAGAGAGCTGTCATGAATCTGTGTGACCGCTAGATGGCGCCTCTCTCTCTCACACACACACACACACACACACACACACACACTCTCTCTCTCTCTCTCTCTCACACACACACACACACACACACTCTCTCTCTCTCTCTCTCTCACACACACACACGCGCGCGCATTCGGAGCAGCAGCAGCTCGGTAAGTGTAACTCAGGCTTTTCTCAGATTGTCACAAACTTCTCGTATGATGACACAGTATCAGTCGGTTGATGTTTGATGTTTCATCCCGTGTCAGACTCGCGGTGTTTTGGGTTAGTGTTGGGTTTGTGGGATCTGGATTACACGAAACGAGAGTTACCAGTTACAGTATAATATGATGAATGTGTCCTGTATTATATTATTATCCGAAAGCTAAAGGAGATACATCGTGACTTCTTGCGAGATGTAAAACTTCTAAAGAGCATTTATTGATAATAGCGATTCACCTTTTTGCCTCGCACAGAAGTGTAAATATGACTCCAGTAACTAGTCTTTGTGATGCAAGAACTCAATTAATTAGTTAAAGGCACTGGCTCAATGTCTAGAGAGGTGAGTTTTGTTCCTTCGGGTTAGTGAGCTAATTCATAACTAGAGGAAGGAGTTTAGAGGAGTTCAGAACAAACCCGCACTGGATTCTTCTATTGCAGTGAGGTTACAGCAGATGAGGTGAGGGGTCTTTGTTACGACTAACCCAACGACTGAAAAAGAACAGTTAGGAATTAAGCGCTCATACTGTAAGGACAGTGGAAAACTTCAATGTTTTTGGTCAAGTCAGCTGTATTTATATAGCACTTTTAACAATACAGATTGTTTCAAAGCAGCTTTACAGTATTAAATAGGAAAGCAATGCAAACAGAAAATAGTTAAACACTCAGTTTTCAGTTAAAGGCAGTTCAGCCTGTGTACTCTGTAGAATCTGTGTATTGCTGGGTATATGCAATAAAAGATACTAATAATCATTTTTGTTAATTTTGTATTGGTCGCTGCTTGATGTAAAATGTGGTTCAAACCGGTTGAGAAGCAGTGACACAGGCGTGATGTTAGTGTAGCGTGGTGTGTTTTGACACGCGTGTGATACTGTAGATAAAAGGCCTCTTCATGAATCACTATCAGACCTTTTCTGTTCTTTTTCTCCTAGAAAACAAGTACTGACCATTATAGAACACCTTTTTCATATAGTATTATGCTATATTTCCTTTCCTTGATCCTGTTGAACAGCGCTTTAATCAGGAATGGATCTGGGCAGTAATTATGAACCTGATCAGACCTGAACTGATAAAACACACCTAATTTGCATTTAGGGGTGGGCTATATAGCCTCAAAATTATATCACGATATTTCAAGAATATTTGCGATAACGATATTTATGACGATATAGAAAAAAAACATGGAACAACGTTTTATTGGTGATTGCAGCTGGCAGGCAGCAGCATTTATTAGTGCAAACACCTTTTCCAATGAGCTACTGTCATCGATGACAGACTACCTAATTCGAAGTGTAAATTTGTTGTCATAAAGTTGCAGCAGCAGCTGTGTGTTCGACTTGAAGCAGACCAAACGGTGTATGACGTCAAAATACCGCGAGAGTGACTTACCCCTTGTTTACCCCTAATTTACACTGCACGCGTCTGCGGCATTACGCGGTCACTCTAGTCAATGCTTGTGTTTACACCAGCTGCGCCGCGGCACGTTTCAGAAGCGTATCTTCGCTAAAGATATGCGCCTCGCCTATTTTTGACGGTAAGAGTGTGCGCTCAAACATTCTGTAGAACCGCTCTTGCGATACTTTGATGTCATACACCGATCAGTCTGCGCAGCTCTGCTTTAAAGGGGTCATATGATGCGATTTCGGAGTCAGCTGTCTTAACCGTGGCTTGTGTACTGCACACATACCAGCTTCATCACTGTGTCTGTCACGCGACTCTGTTCCCCTTTCAGGCTTGAACTGATGGTAAAACTAATGACATTATTTACTGTCTTTACATTTATTTTGAAAGATGAAGCTGACGATTATGGTAAGGGGTGTTACATTTCTGGCGAGTGCTTGTGGTGTTCGGCCAATCACAATGCACTGGGTCAGCTGGCCAATCAGAGCAGACTGTGCTTGTCAGAAGGAGGGGCTTTGTAGAAAA